AAATATGCATGTGCTTAGGGCATCACAAAAATTTCCCAGTGCCAGGTTTACCATGAAATGTATGGTGCATTTAAATAAGAATGGGGGGGGAGGAAACTGGTGTAAATATATGTAGGGACAATCAAAATCTTTTGCCTCTAAAAGTCTTAATCCGGACAAATGCAGATCAGAATGGATGTAACTTAATGTTAAAAAAAATTTTATGTGAATTATTTTGAACTTGAAAGTAAAAATTGTCATGTTGAAAGCGATCACCACGTTTAGTTACTGAAATTGCTAATTAACAGTTCTATAATGTGCAAATTTTGAATAACTCTAAAAGTGTATGTTGAAACTGCTTTAATCTCTTCGCTTCTAAAGTTGAGCAAACAAAGTTTTCCCAATTGCTCGTGACCTTGGCACTGAACCCAAGCGCATTTTGCAATTAAACGTAACATGCAAAAATAATTCGGTTGATCTTTACAATATGGTAACTGGTAGTTTGGCGACATTTTGGAGGCGATAAAGGTACCTGGCACTTTGGTAATAATGTGAGCAGTACTCAGTTCCGATTACGCATTATTTTGTGTGAGGGAAATGAGAGATCATGGGATATGTCATGTGATATTAATGGACGAATTACGGTTCTTTAATCGGAAAAGGGGGGAAATCGGGAAAAAATCTGGAAATTTTGTATTTGGCTTTATTCTGTGTTGTGTGAAACAGTGTTCCTGAATTTTTGGATCCCATGGCAGTAACTAAAGTGAATTGGAAATGGGTATTTATGTATGTATTAATTTAATGTATGTGCTCATTTATACTTTAAGTAGTGTTTTTGAATTTAATTATATTTTAATTAAATGATAGTTATTTTGTGAATTTTATGGTTGTAGGAATTTGGTATACGTTTTAGTTGAAGTAAACGTGCATGGAAATAATTTAAATATCTGACAATAAGTATTTGTAATGGTTGCGGTATGAATTCGTTGGTGACGTGTATAATGTAATAGATGATTTAGAGGTAAAAAGTTTTTGGATATTTTATTTATTTTATATGTGGAAATGTTCATTACTTTTTCGCGATCAGGTAATTTCATATATGTTCTTTTTACGGGGTTTAAAGATTGAGAAAATTTTCGTGAAATTTTTCTAATTTATGAGAAAAAAGCAGTGTACATGGATATAGTGAAGAGTGTGCGCAATGCCATTTTTGTACAATTCTGGGATGTTTTTTTAAGTAAATAAGTCGACGTGTACATGGTTTAGTGATATTTTAATTAAATGATAGTTATTTTGTGAATTTTATGTTTGTAGGAATTTGGTACACGTTTAAGTTGAAGTAAACGTGCATGGAAATAATTTAAATATTTGATACTAAGTATTTGTAATGCTTGCGGTATGAATTCGTTGGTGACGTGTGTAATGTAATAGATGATTTAGAGGTAAAAGTTTTTGGATATTTTATTTATTTTATGTGTGGAAATGTTCATATTTGGAAAGGGTAAATACTTTTTCGCGATCAGGTAATTTCATATATGTTCTTTTTACCGGGTTTAAAGATTGAGAAAATTGTCATGTATTTTCGTGAAATTTTTCTAATTTATGAGAAAAAAGCAGTGTACATGGATATAGTGAAGAGTGTGCGCAATGCCATTTTTGTGCAATTCTGGGGATGTTTTTTAAGTAAAAATAAGTTAGCGTGTACATGGTTTATGTGTATGTGTTATTTTGAAAAACACGTAAGGAGTATGGTATTGTGCACTTTTTCCCAATTTCGCAGTGAATATTTGTCATGATTAAGCAGTTTTGTTAGATAAAATTTCTAGCATAAGTGTAATTCGGCTAGTAGATTGTTGGAAGAAGTGTTCAGTAGATAAAAAGAAAAGAAACATGTCTTTACTTCGTGAAGACAAAATGGCAGCGGGGAAAAAAATAGAGGGTTGCTGTAGGAGAGTTGGTCGCCAAATTTTCGCCAAAAAAACGCCAAGTTACCATAATGTAAAGATCAACCAATAATTCCTATAAAATCTCCTTTTTATTATGATATTTCAGTTTTTGTATATATTACGTAAATAATGGGTTTAATCCTAGTATCCGGTGCACACGGGATTTGGCTACTTTGGGCGACTTTATGATGAGCAGTAAAAACGGGACATATACGATGAGTAGTAAACGGGTCAATGTTTCCGATAGGACAAACAGAAAATGTGCTTAGTATATCGTACAGCAGTAATTACTTACAAAATTTTAAGCCACTTGCTCTGTATAAAAAGATTCTAAATTACGAATGTGCATTGTTGCCATGGCATACTTTACTTTCACAGAATAAAATAATAATAATCATCACAACAATCTTAAATCTAGAAATTCTATTTAATAAGTTTTTGTAGCATTCTCTGTTCCAGCATATCAAATATGAAACAGTGGGCCATCAGTGACATTTTGTTTCCTTGTCATATGTGATAAGGTAGGCCCACTGAATGAAATGAAATCGTATCACATATGATAAGCTAGGAGAAGAGAAAATTTATTTTTACTTACTGCGTTTAGGTGGCATTTTCCTAATATAATACAAATATCTTAATAGCCGTGATAATGAGCTTGTTAAGGCTTAGTCAAAAAATAAGTGAAACAACTTCGGGATAATACAAAGGGTACCGTTCTCTCGACTCTAACCTTTCCTTTTAGTTTTGCTTCTATTCCATTTATTTTACCTAGCATAACAGCTACAGCTTCAGTCTGTCTTCGGCTTGTAGATGCCAACTGATTATCATACAGAAAAGGGACTGATATCCAAGATGCAGTATCAGGGTATGCACTAGTATCATGATCAGTGACCAGAAACCCCTATAAGTACTTACAACTGGGGCTATGACTAACCAACAGTACATTGATGCAGTTTTACTACATGATGATTGTCTTTTAGCTTTCAGTGATAAATTTTATGTTTTAATGTAGTGCTAATTTACTATATATGCTACAATATCTGGAATATTTTTTATATTTATTGTTGAGTGGCTTAAAACTCTTCCAAAATTGATGAATTGTCTACCGATGACCATTCTTCGAAATCAAAAATCATTTGAATCCTGTCTTCGACTACTATTTATCTGTTTTTCCAATTACGTTTTGAAAAAGGAATTAAAATTTGGAATTTGTCTTCAATGGAAGATCCTGTAGTAGAGTATTTTCAAAGTTATGGGATCCTGGCATCAAGAAAACTGCAATGTGATAAAAACTGTGGCTGTACAGTATAAAAAAATTATAGCAATCAATTTAAGTTTTTAATATGTTATGTCTGTTTCTTGTATATGATTATCTAACTAATTAAAGAGCAATCTGTACCTTTAAATTTCTGCAAGAATGAATGACGCAAGTTTAGTGAGATCTCTGCCAGTTTTTATGATTTGCATCATATTTGTAATTGATCATGATACACTTTGTCTTTATGTCTGAGTGCCTCTTCCCCCCCCCAAAAAAAAAAACTCGAAAAATTTAAATGTAGGTATTTGAAATTCAAGTTGATAGCAAATAAAAAATCTCTCTCTCCTTCCCCCCCCCAAATTGTAGACTGAAAATTTTTTCCTTTCATTCATCTGGCTTTTGTACTGTAAATTGCATTTGTGCTCAATTATCTGCACTTATTCAGATTTGGCATTTTCCAAGGTTTCTGAATAATCAAACTTTAATCATTAATCCTAAATCAGTAGGCACTGCTTAGTAAGTATGCAGGTCAATAAATATTTCTTTATTTGTTTGCAAATCAGTATAAATTTTTGTTTTGTTTGCTTTATTACAAATTCGAATCTTGCAAGTGATCAAAACATTTTTCTCGTGTGACATGATGGTAATATTTTATTCTAAGAACACTACTTTTTTTGTGGAAGAAACATGCTCTATAAATAAAATAGTAGTTCTGTCTATTACAGGGAAGAAATACAGAAATTTTTCTTTTTCAGACATTGCCAAAGACATCATTAATTATCATAAACTATTTTCAACATATTATGTGTTCTATCAGAAAATTATATTTTATATGAAAAATAATAATAAATAAAAATGAGCAATATAACAAATATTTTTTTCTATTTGTGCAGTTTCATTGGATAATTTCGTAATATTTCACTTGAGTTTTTTTTATCCTCAGCTATCTTGCTTTAAGCATAGTCAAAAGTCTTTAATCTGGACCTCAAAGATACAAACTTTCTGCGCATGTGCATAATACGTTTACGCATGCGCGTTTAATGTATAACGGACGGTATAAGCTAGGCTAAAATTATCGAATTATGTATTTTAGTTAATGTTGCAGATTGCGTTGTTCCTTAATCTTCTAATTGGATCCGGCTTATTATTTTTTTCAGACTGTTAGAGCAATTTTATAAAAAGTAAGCTTGAACTTTCGATTATGTCAAAAAGAGTTTCCGATTCTGGAGCTGCCAAAGCATCTACAAAGCGAAAGCATGTTTCGATGTGCCGCTTCCAATAGTGAAGAAAGTGACAGAGAGGTTATTGAAAACGAAAAAATTTCGATTGACAAATTAGTCGGTATTCTCGACACAGCAATTATTGTACTTGAACAGGGAACTTTGTAACTGAACAAGAAATTATGTCTGTTTATAGAATTAAAGAGAAAGTATTAGCACATAAAATGAAGCAACTTACATTGAAACAGCTTACATTGAAAGAAATGTTTAATAAAGTAAACAAATAATTATTAAGCTTTTAAAAAAAAAAATTGATACCCTTGATATTGCTATTTATTTCATAAATTACGGTTTCATATTTTTAATTTTATAATTTCTGCATGCCATCTTACCAGATTTAAACTGATGATCTATAATCCGGAATCGAAGTCCCGACGAGTCCAAATTAAAGACTTTTGACTGTATTAATATTTTTCTATTATTTCTTCTTCATACTAATAGAACTTTATATTGTGTTTTATCATTTAATTATTTCTCTCTGAATAAGTAAAGTTTATATAAGTTGCTTTGAATTTAATTAAGTTATTTTTTTCACAGCAGTAGGAACAGATCTGGCCGTTTTGATAGAGAAGAGAGAAGTCGAGGTACCAGAGATGACTCATATAATTACCGAGAAGTATGTTTTTTCTAGTGAAGTATTTTAAGTTTTTAACATTCTATCTGTAACATTTAATAGATTGTAATAGGGTTTTTTTGGGGGGGGAGGTAATAACAGAAGGATTAATTTTAATACATATAAAATTAAATATCTTATGTGCAAAGGGTATTTAGTCTGCCTTTTAAAAAAGTACATTTGATGTAATTTTTTTTATTTATCATAAACAGAGCAGTTTGAGTTTTAAAATGAGAATGCAAGATTCTTATTAGAAAGCCATTAGAGACATTGCCTACAAGTGTATTAAAATAATGAGAATAAAATATTGTATTTACTCATTATTCCAATTCTTATTTTCCTCTCCCAGCTTTTTCAGCAAATGTTATACATATTTTTGTTTGGTGTCAGCAGCATGTAATTTGGGTAAACAAAACAAAAAGAATAGTAATGAAGGTAATATCTTAACTTTTAAATGCTTAGTATAATAATAGTAGTGCTAAGGTTAGATTTCTTCTGTCCCTCTGCTGTTCCTTGGAGAAACTTAAAATGCTTCTTCCTGGATTATGTAAATGAAAGAAATTAGGAAAAAATAAGCAGTAGTGCAATGTTAGCACTGTTGAAAACACATAAATCCCAACCTTCTCAAACTAATTTTAGTGTACACAAAAGTGAATTATATCTAATCCTGCATTCATATATATTTCATTTTCTTCCTTCACCTAAAAAAGCGGAAGAAGCATAATTGTAAGGGGGATAAAAATTAGAATTCTTATTTATTTATATATGTAAAAAAAATTATGAAAACAACTTAATTGATTTAGAATATATTTTTTATCATTTCTGCAGTAAACTGCAAAATAATTAATCCTCCTTCCCCAGAAAGCATCTTCTCCATCTTCATTATTATTAAATAATGAAGGATCTGTATGTATGTACGTATTAATGCATGAATGTTTCCTCTCATTGAAAAAATTATATATGCGTAGTTATTCCTTCACTTGAAAATGTGCGCCTTAATGCTCAAATTTTTAAATTGGAAAAAAAATTATATATGCGTAGTTATTCCTTCACTTGAAAATGTGCGCCTTAATGCTCAAATTTTTAAATTGGAATTCGTTTGTGTATTCTGGATGAATTTAATTAATTTTTTATTAACAAACTCTGCAGTTTAAAAGTTAGCAATGACAGTACTCTTCAAAATAAAGCATTTTTGTCTCTACTGTACAAAATGTAAGATATTTATCTTTTTGATTGTAAAAAACAAACTCGGCTATTTAACTATTAGTCAGTGTGTTGCCATTGCCTGAAATAAAATACTTTTATCTTCCATGAGCTAGCATGTTACTCAGTAAAACTGAAGGCATTTAACTTCCAAATTTAATTTGTTATTGATTAAAAAACCAAGTAGTTTAAGACCTGTAAATGCAGTTCCTAATAATATTTTGTTTCCTACTTTTTAATCTGATGGATTTAAATAAAAATGCATTTACATCATGAGATGTTTAATTAGAAATATTATATATTTTTTATGAAATTACACTACCTGGAATCGTTAAAATTATTATGTATTTTTTCTTTCTCGTGATAACTATTTTAGCTGGCTGCACATAGAATTATTTTAGGAATTAAACTAGTCCTTATCTACAGTTAAGGAAATAACCTAATACATTTTATGTTGCCATGAGACACACTGGAATAGGCAATCAACATGTTTTGGAATATTTTTTAGCAAATCAAGCTGCATATTTAACCCTCCAAGTGGCCAAAGTTTTTGCCCTGAAAGCCTAAAATTTCCTAAAATGCTTTTAAGTGGTGGTTTGTTAATTATAATTCCAAAATAACGCTCTCACTTTGAACCCGGACTCCTTTTCTTCTAATATACATCCTACTTTATTTGTGTTGACATAATGCAGGATGCACATCTGTGCACTTAAAAGTATCATGACAAATATTTTTGAATGTATATATACAGCTCAACCACATGAAGGGTTAACCTTCCAGCACGCACGTATGCGCAAAATTTACGACAAATTCAGTTTTTAATGCACATTTTTCGCATATCGAAGCTGAGACGTCTGAAGGTCATTTCTATTCTTCCTTTCTAGACTTTCCCACATCATGGAATGTGCCAACAGGAAGTCATTTGACTTTTTTTTTAACTGGCTTTTGTGCTACGTGGTTATGTTTTAAAATTCGGAAAATATTTTTTTTTCTCAAATATTTTGTAATTTTGTGTTATTAATTGGGGTGTATTATTTTAATTTAAATACATTTGACTCTGTAAATATTATATCGGTTTTCATGGTAAAAAAAATATGTGCAACCAGCTGATTTTGCTTGGATTCTTCAAGAATTATCTGATGAAGAAAAGGAAGACAAGGAAACCTTTGGATGGGAGAACAATAGTGATTTCCATTCCTTATTTTCTTTTATTTCTATTTTTTAGAAATTAATAAAAACATCAAAGTGCGTTTTTGTAACCAGTAAGAAGTAAATATTTATATTAAACCTCCTAAAACAAGAGTGTGCCTTTTGGTGTGTCAAGATGAGAATTTTTTAACTGCTTGTTTAATAATGTTGGGTGAAAAGCCCCTGTCAATAGCTATTGCTTTTAAAAAATTTAGTTCTTCATCGAGGGATAGTTTGGAGGAGCAAACTTGAAGAGCACGGAAAACATTAACTTTTGTTTAGTCGGATGACATGATTTAAAGTGTGGTGGAAGGCAAACCGATGAAGGTTTACCGTAAACCGCATTACTGAAGTTGGATGTGTTATATGTGACCAGAGTGTCAAGAAATGGAAGAGAATTGCAAGTCTCAAGTTCAGAAGTGAACCGAATAGCAGGATCAATGGAATTCATTTTTCAAAGAACTTTATTTAAATCATCTTTGTTACCTGCAAACAGGGTAAAAGTATTGTCTACGTAGCGAAACCATACCGGGAAGTTTAAAGTATCAAGCAATTTTGATTCATAAAAATGCATATAGATATCAGCCAGGATGGGACTGGGGGGTTTCCCATGGCTAATCCCTCAGTTTGCTTGTAATATTTATTTTTAAAAACAAAATGCGTTTGTTTCAAACAGAGTTGAGTGAGAGAAATTAGGTCATCAATTTCGATGCAAGAGAAATGAAATTCGCGAAGTCTGGTTTCTAGACATCTTAATGTACCTTCCACTGGAACATTGGTGAATAATGAGTTTACATCAAAAGAAACCATGAGTAAATTTCTAGGATAAATGTTTTTAGAGTTGAAAATCTGGAGACTAAATATTTAGCTAACGGATACGCTAATTATGTTTTAGTTCTGGTTTCAACAGATGACGCCAGTGGCTTATCTCCTGTCCAGGCTTTGTTATCTTATCTAATCATTATATCTTCTCTCTTTAATTTGTGCTTTTGTAGCTGAGGATGATGGTTCAGTAAAATCATCAAAACTAGTCCTGTGAAAATATAATGCTGATTTTTGTTGTTTGACTTCTAAATTAATAATTTTAAGCTGTATTTGGTGTTTTATGTTTTTTTGTATTTTACAATTTTTAATGGAGAGGTTTTGAGTTTTTATGTATTTTGCCTTCCTGCAAAGTGAGAACAGTTTAAGTGAATGAAAATTTCAAGGAAATAAGTTTAAATAAAATGTAGGAAAAAATTTGTATAATTTAATAGGTCTCTGCAAGAAAGTCATGGTGTCCACATCAGATTTGTATGGTTAATGTTCTTCTTTATGGAGTTTTCTTCCATCATCTTCAGACCAATTTGAGACAGTGCAAATGTGGATGTCCTTTTTGGGAGGGCTATGGGGAGAGTACAAAATGATATTGAAGAACATTTCATTTGTTCATGTTAATTGTTTCTGCATTTAACATTATATATTTACTTAATTTGCCATAAAGTAAAATAAAAGCAATTTGTTATTTCTGGACATAATGGTATTTTGGTAAAAAATTTCTTCCAGTTTTTATGCAGTGAACTGTACATAATGAAAGATGAATGACTGAAGTGTTTGTTACGTTAGCAGCTGCCTACAAAGTTTAAGAATAAGAGGTTAATCTTTGGAATATGGTAACAGGTAGTTTGGCGACATTTTGGTAAGGTGATAAAGGTTACTAGCTAGGACTTTAGCAGTGTACATGCATAAAGTCAAGAGTGTGCGCAATGCCATTTTTGTGCAAATCTGGGATGTTTTTTTAAGTGAAAATAGGGTGACGTGTACATGGATGATACCGTGTATGTGCAATTCTTAAAAACGCAGCAAACAGTGGGCGATTCTGCACTTTCTCCCAGTTTTGCACCTAATCTTCTTCATGATTAAGCACTTTTGTTCCATAAAAGTTCTAACATGAGCATAATTCGGCTAGCAGATTCTTGGGAAAAAATGTTGAGTTTAAAAAAAAAAAAAAAAAAAAGTGCCTTTACTTCGTGAAAACAAAATGGCGTCCAAAAAAAAAAAAAAAAAAAAAACTAGCAGGTTGCTGTAGCAGGGTTGGTTGCCAAATTTTCGCCAGAAAATCGACAAGTTTCCATAATCCGAAGATTAACTGAATAAGGATTTTAGTATTAGTTCGAAGAAAGTCTTTTGCTTTCTGATTCAACAGAATGCAATGCAAGTGGAGATAAGCTGAATAATGTTTTTTCGCAACAGATAACCTATCCTGTATTTAACTTATCCTGAGCATGAATCATGTGATTTGGCCTTGCTTGATGAGATAACCTATCCTGTATTTAACTTATCCTGAGCATGAATCATGTGATTTGGCCTTGCTTGATTGTCATTCGTAGGTATGTGATGTAGAAAAATACGTAGAGATCTAAGAGCTGTTGCTTCATAGAAAAATGTAAAGCCAGTTGTGCACATCCGTTTCTAAGCAATATATCAGCAGAGCAATTCAGATGTAGAGGATATACAAAATGTCCTTAACATAGGCATCACATTGAAGGCCCTTTGGTTTTTTGGTCTTTCATGATGCCATGTTTGCAACGGTAATGATATTGTAGAGAGATGGTATTCTGTCGTTGAACAGC